CACGGATGATACCCAATTGTGGGGCAAAGTTAATATACCAGAGGGCAGGGAGCAGTTACAGGCTGACCTGGACAGGTTAGATCAATGGGCAGAATGTGATAGGATGCAGTTCAACAAAGATAAATGTAAGGTACTCCACCTAGGAAGGAGGAATCCCCAGCACACCTACAGGTTGGGGGATGTCCTCCTCAGCAGCTCGGAGGCTGAGAGAGATCTTGGAGTCATAGTGGATCGAAAGAGGTGATGCTTCCTCTCTTTGTAGCACTAGTCAGGCCGCATTTGGAGTACTGTGTCCAGTTTTGGGCGCCACATTTCAAGAGGGAAACGGAAGATCTAGAAAGGGTTCAGAGGAGGGCCAACCACATGATTAATGGTCTCCATGAAAGACCCTATGAGGAGAGGTTGTGAGATCTGGATCTCTAAAGGCTGTACAAAAGACGGCTGAGGGGTGACCTTGTGGCTACCTATAAATTTATCAGGGGAGGACAGCAGGGAATTGGGGATGCGCTGTTTACCAGAGTGCCCCAGGGAGTAACTAGGAATAATGGGTGCAAACTAGTGGAGAGTAGATTTATGTTAGACATTAGGAAGAAATTTTTTACAATAAGGGTGGCCAGAGTCTAGAATGGGCTTCCAAGAGAGGTGGTGCTGTCACCTAACTTAAGAGGTCTTGAAGAGGAGGCCTGACAATCACCTGGCTGGAGTTGTCTGACCTCAGTCCTCTTTCCTGCCAGGGGGTCGGACATGATGATCTATTGGGTCCCTTCCGACTCTATAATCTATGAAACCTATGACCAATCTGAATTGCAAATTTCTAGAATTTCATTTTGCAGGTTTTAAATTTTTTTAAAATTTATTTCTAGAATAGAACAGATTTCCAAATTACAGTAATTTGCCACTATGAAAAAACCTTCACACCTAGTAGTGCTTACTGGGAAGTAATGGCCAATCTTTTACAAGGTGGTTGGGTGTCATACTTGACACAGCATCCTGACATTATGTAGGTGTCTGTTGTGTATTGCCCACCACCTTGTGACTTAACTTACATATGTAACCTCAGGCCTGCCAGTACATTTGTCAAAAACACGTTCCATGAGGTTGCTGGTCTAACTGGCAGTATTGTAAGGACAAGGTAAATATTTTGTTTAGCACTTGTGAAAGGTAAAAGGACTGAGGTGGGTAAAATTCAAGCTGTTGGCCTTTGCATCCAATCAGAAAATACTATGACGAGAGCCTGCCTGCTGTGAGTATATGATTAACACGGGTGTACAATGTCTTGTGAGTTAGCACTGCTGCTGTTTGAATCTATAGTGACTTTACAGGGTGCGTAATCTGAAGAAGTATGCATTTCCATTTCCTGCAGGAACAGGGATTTTGTAATTCATCTGGTCACACTGTGTGGGAAAATTTTATCATAACAGAGCACAATAAGTGGAGAGGCTGTTTTTGCCTCATGAAAGTGAAATATGACTGGTGAATTTCACTTGTTAAAGCTTGTGATGTTTCATGTACAGGTTGAACCTTTCCAGTCTGAACTAAGCATCAGTCTAGCACAACTTTTACACCAGCAACTTGAATTTGTAATCTTTATAAGCAGTATAGGTTTGCTAACAGCAAGCCCAAGGACTTCTGTCAGGCAAGCGTTGGATGTGTTGCTTCTTACTTACAATGCATCATATAGCTGTATCCTGTGCTTGTCATTGTTCTGAAATATTTGTTTTCAATGAGCTGCCGGTTTATAACTTGAGTAGGTTTATAAATAGTAAGCATCTGCTTAGTTTAACATCCAATGAGTTGGCAAATAAAAAAAGCTTAACCCTTAACTTTACTTTTCCTCTTTATTTCAGGAGACAAATGACAGGAAGATGTTGTCTTGATTGAAATGATTCTATTTTGTCTCATAAGTAGAAAACAAAAGTAACTAGCAGGATTTTAGATACTGTTGTTTTATAGGTGCATAAATGATATGCCTAATCAAATGATTGTTCTTTAGCCTATTCTAATACCCCATTTGTGACTTTAACTTCCTGTGAATGATGATCAGTTAGTCAATCTAATTGTACATTGCTGTTCATATTGAAACTGTTAAATACATTTTTTAATCCTCATATGTATGTTTGCAACATTTTACTTGGCTTCTAGATATTATTTAGATTTAAAAAAGAAAATGTATCTTTTCCCATTTTAGTACCCATCTGTGTTAAACCTACATATGTTTGAGACTAAAAAAGAGTATGTATTTAATATCTTCATTTGATGTTTTAAATAGTTATTATATTTTAAGTTGCACTTTGGAGCACCTCTGGTTATATAGGGAAGCAATATCTCTCTCAGAAGGTGAAGAAATCAAGTGACTTGGTCATTAAAAGTTCTTACAATTCAGAGACAAAACCTTTATTTCTTGACTCTCCATGCTATGCCTTAATAATGAAACTCTTTTCTCCTTCATGTTTTTCAGCAGATTCAATTTAAGAAAACCAATAACTATAACATTGAGTAGAGCTGAGCCAAATCAGGAAAGAGGTCCATACAGTTGGAAATCCTCTGAAGCAGGATATAGATTTAGATACTGTTTAAAGGCAAATGTTACTTTTATGGGGGGCAGCCATTACAATGACATACACAAAACAAGCTGTAGAACTGATGGTGGATCTTTGTGATGCTGACTTAACCATTTATAAGTGAACTGAGAACACTATTCACAGCGGCCACCAAACGGCCATTGTTGGTCATTGGTGGCATAGGTTGGACTGGAATGTCTCACCTTGAGGTGAAGGCACTGTTAAAAATTCCCAAAGCTATCTCACCCTTTGATTGTTTCCCATTGAGTTAGTACATCCATTCTATATACAGCTACTCCTCACTTAATATCCTAGTTACATTCTTGAAAAATGCAACTTTAAGCGAAATGATGTTAAGTGAATCCAATTACGTCCCAGTACTTACCTAGTAACAGGCGGCAGCCAAACAACGTTATAACCAAACATTGCACAACTTTAAATGAGAATGTTCTCTAATAGATCAGTGACATAATAACAAAACAACATTAACTAGGACAACATTAGGTGAGGAGTATCTGTATTGTTGTAAAAGTTTGATTTTTTTTTTTTTTTAAATGCTGTTACATTTTTATTATTTTTGAACACCGTGCCACCCACCGCTTGGAAATGTACAATACTGTTCTCCTTAAAAGGCAAGGCACGGTATTATTCACATTTGAGTTAGAAGTACTGTGGAAAAACTGTAATGCAAATTACAAAACAGATGGGAATTTTACAAGCATCTTTTCATGCCATGAATGCTTCTCAGAGTCGGGCTCTTTCCTGCAAGTGCTGATCCTTCTACTCCTGGCTGCGCTGGGAGGTATTCACTGTTAGCCAGGTGGTGGAGGGAAACCTGGACCCCTCTAAATTTTGGAGCCCAGATTTTGTAATGCAGTTGGTAAAACCAGCTTCGTGTTCACCCATGTTGGTGTCCTAAATGTCCAGCCAATTAACTTGTTGATCGCTGTACTCTGGAAAAAAGTAAAAATGTTTTTTGTGCTTATTTGTAGAATTTCCCCAGGAATGTAGGCACAGGCGCAAGCAAATATGACAGTTTTGAGAGCTCTAATTTATAATTGCTTCCCCTCAAAGAACAGTAGATGAGGAGGGTTTTAGGGCAGGGTGAAAAGCTGTCTCCTCCTCTTTCTCCCCATACACTTTTGCTGTTCTTCCCCTTTAGCTTATTTTTGAAATTCAAGATGCTTCTCTAATGATTGAGCACATCTTATGGATGCACTTTTTCCCTCCAGCTAGTCAGGTGACAAGTCATCTTTAATATGCAGAAGAGATGAGGGTTTAGATTAAGTAATTCTTTCAGTCTTTAACCCCATATCCAACCTTCAGTCACCCACTCAAACCCCTTTGGATTTTCCTGATGTTCTGCTACAGCTGATCCTTTGTCTGCAATGACTTTAGAGGTGTATTTCTCCAAAAGGTGTGCATTTTTGGCTTAGTTTAATCAATACTAATCTATGTGTGCTCACTCACATTTTGGTTGGAAAAGGTTTGTATGTATTGGTTTAAGATGAAATAAAATAAGCCTCTCAAGTCCCCATAAGTGTGTATATCCCTGAATGAACACTGTTTTAATTAGACTGGTGCAGTTTTTACTTAACTGCCAATGATTTCCATCCCTGTGATAGAGTCCTTGATCTCTCCTGCTCTCCTCCTGGGGCACATTGTTCTTTATGAGGATGCTCTTTAGTACAAAAAGGTCCTAAGTTTGTCGTGGAAAAGTCCAGTGCTTTGTGGTTTATGCCTAGGAATGTCTAGAACGAGTGTTCTTGTGGACACTTTTGGACTTGGTATCTATTACATGGAGATCTGATGTTTCAGAGTAATGGACTCAATGATCTGGGTGGCCCCTTCCAATCCTATTGTGTCTTTCCTTGTTTGTTGCAGTTTTGCACCTTGACACCTCTGAAGAAAAAGGGCTCCTAACCTTTGTCTGCCTGAGGAAGGAGGAAATGGCTAATTATACTAACAAGGAGCAGTTAACAATATACAAATTACAAAAGCATTAAATCAACAGCATACATAAAATAGTGATTTACTATTACATATCTTCTCTTCTTGGTTGCTTCAAGACTATAAACATTAGACAGGTACTATGCAGTGTGCAGTATGCAGGGTTGCAAGCAGTTGACATAACCTATTTGGAAATGAACAGCAGTTTTGTATGTGGATATATATTGCTGTTTGATTCCTGCAGAAGAAAACTACTTGAACTATTTTTGTTACAGATTTTTCTTTTTAAATGAAGTATGCAGGTTTTTTCCCCTCTGGAAATTTAAAAGGAAGTGAGATTTTTATAATGCTTCTATAATGCCTAGACTTGGTGGGTTAAGCTACTGGGAATTATCCATTCATTTAGGTCAGCCAGAGTGCCAGGGGTTGATTCATTGAGAGAATTTCTTGTGTTAAAGAAGAGTTTAATTTTTTTTTGTCTAATTTCAGGACAATATCATCTTATTCTTAAGAGGCTGCAAGGAGCTGGGTCTTAAAGAATCTCAACTTTTTGATCCAGGAGATCTTCAAGATGCATCAAATAGAGTAACAGTCAAGTAAGTATAACAGCAGTTTGTATTTAAAGCTTTAGAGTACCTATACACATGTTGGCTTGCATTCTAATTAGAACACATCAGAGCAGACTTGATTTATTGAGTCTGTTCCTTATTCTAATTAGAACGCTCCCACGTGGCCTCATCATCATATGTATAAGACCCTGCAGGGGTCGAATGAGGTTTAGATAAAGCATTCTCCGATCATTTTTAAACCCACAGGGGCTTAATACACATGATGGTGAGGTGTTTTAATTAGAGTGGCTGTCTGGGAACAGCTCTAATTAAAACATCCCTCCCCTCCCTCCCTACCTGCCCCCGAGCACATGTATGGGCAGTCTTAATGCCATGGTTATATGCAGTTTAATTGTAGACATTAAAAAATAAACAAAAAAGGTATATGAATATCAGCATCTACATAAAGCTAACATAGGAACTAAGCTTGCAGAATGTATGATGTTGTCAAGATTAGGCCATCTTGTTCAGAACTAGCTGCTTCCTCTGAGAGGGACTGTTTTCTTTATTTTCAGTCAGATTGAACAGAATGCCTTAAAATCCTGTTTTACTTCAGACAAAATAAACTGTTAACAAACAATCTAGGATGATAACATTTTCTTGTCTGTCTAATTGGTGAGCTGCGTGGGCTGAGAAAAGGCCTTGCCATTTCAATTAAACTGTTTTCAAGATGCTTTATGAGACTGATCAGTAATTTTGAACAACTGCTAAAAGCCTCCACAGTTTCTGCAGACAAAGGTGTAGACTGTTCGTTGTCTGAGAACAATATATTGTAGGATAATCTTACCAAGTTTTTCATTTGGGCATGAGACTTCTTGTGTAAACTATGAGAATGAAAAGTAACACTCGACCAGAGTAATACAAATTACAACATGAAAGATTTTCCTGAAGCATATAATGTGGCACACAGATGCTAATAACTTTGGCAGGCAAAACTATTCTGCTGAATTGTTAAGGAAATAATTTATATTTGATCAACAGTTATCTGCCTGTGGTAATTTTATGGCCTCTGTTTATAATAAAGTGCATGTAATCCTTGGCTATCAGTGTTTATCCTCAAAATCTCTGTGAAATTAGAAAATATTAATCCCATATTACAGATGGAGAACTGAGGCACAGAGTGAGTGAGTGACTTGCTCAAGCTCTCCCACACACAATCTGAGAGGGCACAAATTTAAGCCTGGGTTATTCAAATCCCAGGATACTTCCCTAACAATTGGGCAAGTTGTTCCTTTCAAAGATCATCCCATCAAGACAGACTAGGGCAATGAGAGCACTAAAACCAAACAAGAATTTCCTGTCATTTACAGCAGAGGAGATCAAGATTTCTGGTTTTTCCATTTTCATGAAAATTGGTGTTTTGCCCACAGCTGTCTAGAATACTCTTTGATACCTGGGGATTGATCAGATGTGATATTGAAAACGTATTGCTTTACAGACAAAGAAATGCTGTTGAGCTGAGTGAAGGGCTTTGCTTTGCTTCACTTAACTGAAAAGGTTATTTTAACTAAATCTTATTCAGATGTATCCATGTTAGCACAATAGTTTCCATAGTTTTCTAAATTTCAGGAGTTCTCCATTTCTCCCTCCTTTTTACAGTAGAAGCTGGATAGGCTTGAGAGCACCCAAGTGCTATTCACATAAATTCAAGTTTTCAAAGTAAAACCAGAGGGTGGAGTGGCATAGGCCATGGCTCTGTGGGAGCCCACCGCACAGGGCAGTGAAGGACCTGAGGTGGGGACTGCCTATGTGTGCAGTGCTGGGAGAGAGGGCTGCCCATGTGCACAGTGTAGTGGGGCAGGTATGACCCAGGGGCGCTTGCTGATATGGCCTGTGCAACATGCAGGCCCCAGCCGCTTCAAAGTTAGACAGGCCTGATTTGAACCAAAAGGATGCAACTGTGGAGACCAGGAAAAACCCACACTTAAGAACAATGGTAGATTGATTTGGCACGGCTCACTCATGAAATCCTTGAAGCAAGGCAGCTGTAGAAATCACCCAAAATACTTTCCCTGCACTCTCCAAGTTAATGGTGGGCAACTGAGCTAGATATGGAAGCCAAATTCATTACTCTTTCAGTGAAAAATGTCCATAGCTGTCTTCTGTAAACTAGACGTCAAAACAAGTAACAGAATCCTATGCTTCTGTCTGCTGTGAGATTGGGTGATTGTTTATTATAGCAACGATGGCGTGAATTCAGTGTTACAAAAATAAACCTATGGCATCACTACACATAACCAAGATAAAAGTGTATTTTTAATTTTTAAGTATCTTTCTTATGTGTTCTAAGTGAAGTATGCCCTATTTAGTCCAATTTTTAGATTATCCAGCTACAGAATACATGATCTAATGCTTTAAAGATTTTCGGAGCTGATTACTTATACTTTCTTTTCCAGTGCAATTTTAGTATGAAAAAATATGAACACCATTTAGCTTTCTTAGCATGTGTGCGCCACAAGTTTTGGGATCAAGACAAGTTATTTGAATGTTTTTCATTTTCTAGGCTTTCAATACTCACATAAATGTGAGACCTTTTTGATTTGTTTTTTCCTGGTGAGAAAATGTACTCAGTTGACTTAATAGAGTATTTAATGGAGTTAGTGTTTATTACCAACCTGGGGACAGTCTCTGCTTAATGCATGCTACTTTTATTTGTTTGTACAACACTCAAACAAGATCCATTTCTCTAGGTTCTATTCTACAAAAAGTTTTTCTCCAGCATAAATTAAAGCTGAGGTGTAGTTTGTGTTTGTACAACCAACCTCGTACTTTACAATTCCTAACTTAAATCTTCCAGCCGTGTTGAGGAAATGCTGGCCCAGGAGAATATTGGCTTAGTGTGAAAAGTGTTCTCCTCTTTGCACATTCTAAATACATTTTCTGCTTTAGGAATTTACATCTTACAATAGAGGGGAAGTAGAGAAGACTGTTTTTGCAGGGTCTTCTTACTATTCCATCTCTCTCTTTCTGCATGTTCACTTTTCTATTGAGACTTGCTATATTTAAATCTGGGGCTGAATTCTTCCTTGACCTTTGTATATGTAGTTCCTTCCTATGTATTTCATATTACAGGGCAGAAATTAATCCTTGAATTATTATAGAGTAGATTTCAGGACTTAGGCCTCCTTTTCCCTAAATCAGCAGCTCTCTATAAATGAAACACTCTTGGCAGTGGCTTACATTACTGAGGGACTGCTGCAAACCTATTTTTCTTTTACAGGGAAAGCATTCTAATTTAGTGATTGTGGTCATGGTGGCAAAATAATCCAGCATTATCAACTAATAAATAAGTGCACCACATAGTTTTCCTGTTTCCAACCAGAAGCATCCTGTAGGCCTATGCTGAGGAAACACGTGACCTGCTGCATATATGCTCTTGGAAAGTGTCTGCTTTCTGATTTTCCCCCCCCCCCCCCTTTTTTTTTTTTCTTTCTTGCATGCAGGAATATTGACTATAGCAGGAAGCTGAAAAATGTAAGTAAATAATTTGCATTACTTTCCTCTCTGGATAAACCTGAGTTTGGACTAAATGAGAATTTAGACTGTAAAAGTTAAAATAGTCAATTTTTTGTAAAGTTCTACACTAACTAATTTACAAAACCTATGCAACATCTTTGCAAAAACAAATAGAACTGTTTTGTTTCTAATTACAATAAGGACATAAATCTTCTGTCTGTCCAGTTTTAACTAGCCACTCTGGCTGACATGCATCAAAAACTACATTGTTTTGACCTTAGCATAAAATGGACAAAAGTAAAGCGATACAAAGTATTTCAAGAATATAGCCAATATAAGCTAGACTGTGTTCTTTGTATGTAGTTATAAATTGCTGAGCACTAATTTCCCATTAGACTTGCTAGCTTTCTCATTGTATTTCCAAGCAACATGTACTTTCAAAGGCAGAGTGGGCAGTTCTGTTTAATGTTGATTTCTTGCTGATTTAAATTGGTGGCAGTGGTAATAATTCTGTAATTGCAGAATAAAGAAGAAATGTGTGAACTTTGTTAATCCTAGAGTTAGTTATTTCTAAAGCCAAACAAACGTTCTGGCTCTTCTGTCAGCTGTTAACTACTGTGAATTCAATTTGTCTTTGGCTGACATCCCTCCCTAGAGACTGTAAGGAAATGCCAAGACTGTCTTCTAATAATTTTTCAAGCCAGTAATCATGGCTACAGGTAAATATGCACAATTATTTTATATTGTTTCTCCTGTCATCAGCAGAGAAGTAGCTTCCTCTTCAAGCATATTAAGATACAATATCTCAGTTCAGTGACATTTTGGGTGTCTGTCCTGAGGAAATTAGCTAAAAGTTTTTTTTTATAAATGTGTTGTTTTTATAAGCAAGGCACCTTTGTTCTGGGAAGCATCTTTCTTTGTAATGGAGAAATTTCCAATGCATCTTCCTATGTTGTAGGTCAGAATTGCCTATTAATGTGACACTGGAAAGAGATTTTTCATCCCCAGATGAAGAAGCGGGGAGGAGATAATCTTGGCATATAAACAAAAATAGCATAAACTTCCTTGCAACATTGGGCAGGAAAACAAACTGGACAGCCCTCCTGGCTGCTAACACCATTTTGTCTGCAAGTGTTTTCATTTAACTTGTTAACAAGAGTGATTTTTCCATGACTTGGTTATGTACTGAGAAATGCTGGGCTGGAAAACTTTTATCTGGACTTTTTTTTTTTGGTCAGGAAAAAAGTCTGGTTTAAAAAAACCCAAAGCTTTTCACATGATTTTACCCATTTACATGACATTTCCACCGTTTTTTTCCCTAAGTTAAGGAAAAAATAGGGGGAAATTCCCTTTTGAATTTTTTTTTATTTTGCATTATTTTATAACATGCATTATTTCATGCTTGTGATGCAGTACTGCTATACTAACATAGTATTGTGACAATACATTTGAAATCTACTACTTAATATTATTTGACTTACTGTTTCAAATTCATTAGTACTGATTAAAACAAGGGGAGGAGGCAATGACTGAGTATCCCAGGGGTCTGTCCTGGGTCTGCTACTGCATTTTGTCCTCATTAATGATCCAGACTAGAAGATAGGATTAAGTATACGCTTTAACAAATTTGCAGGTGGGATCAAGGTGGGTGGAGTTGCAGACATTTTGGAGGATAGGATTAGGAATGACCTTGATCAATGGGAGAGACGGTCTGAAAGTAATCAAATGAAATTCAAGGACAAGTGCAAAGTCCTTGACTTTAAGATAGACCAATTGCATTTACAGACAGAGGAACAGCTGTCAAGGTTGAAGTACTGCAGAAAAGGACCTGGGGGTGAGAGTGGACCATAAACTTAATATAAGCAAATAGTGTGTTCTTGTTGACAAAGAAGTCAATAGTAAGCTGAATGGTATGAGCCCGTGTATTGCTTAAAAGTCAAGTGAAGTCATTCTTTCACTCTCAGCACTAGTGAAACCTTACCTGGAGTACTGTATCCAGATTTGGGCACCATTCTTTAGGAGCATGGGTGCTCAACCACCAGGCTGTGAGCCAGATCTGACCTGTAGCACTATGTCATCCAGCTTGTGGGGCTCCCCATGGGCCTGGAAATTTGGCTACATGTTCTCCTGCTAAATTTCCAAACCCACAAGGAGCCCCAGGTCCTGTACTTGACCCTAGTGCACAAGGCCAAGTGGGGATGGTATAGGGCCCCAGGGCACAATCCCAGTGTGGGGGGCTGGAAGACGAGTGGTGCTGGACCCACGGAACCCAATCCCAGCATGGGGGGAGAGGGGGACTAGGCACCAGGCCCCTGGGATCCAATCCCAGTATATAGGAAGAGGGAATGGTAGTGCTGTGCCCCCAGGAACCAATATCAGCACAGGGCAGGGAGGGTGCAGCGTGAAGCCCCAGCACCCAATCCATCCCAGAGACAGGCCCCTTGCCACTTATCTGACCTGTGGGGCCAAAAGGTTAAGTATCACTGTTTGAAGGATGTGGATAAATTGGAAAGAATCAAGTGGAGAACAAAAAACCTTTTGGGCAAGATGACTTATGAGAGAAGGTTGGACTGGAAACTGGGGCTATTTAGTGTGGTGAAATGAAGGAGGGATTTCATAACAGTCTTTGCATACCTAATGGGTGGTTATGCAGAAAATCATGATAAACAATTCTGTGGGCTGTAGGCAATTGGACAAGGAACAATGGTCTTAAACTGAGCAAAGAAAATTTAAGTTGGATATTGGGGAAAAACTATCATTGTGAGGTGATTAAGCGTTAGAACAGATTGCCCGAGAGGTTGTAGAATTCCCAGCACTGGAAGTTTTTAAGAGCAGGTTAGACTAGTGATTGTCAACCTTTTTAGATTCAAAGCATCCCTTGTTAAGGTCAAGGCACCCCTTAGGCTTCACTTTCTTTTTAACTGTGGAACAAGAATGAAGCAGTTATTTTGTTGGAAAGAAACTCAGAAAGACCACAACTGGTGAGAGCACCTTTAACTATGGAATCCTATTTGAAATCTCTGCATTTATTTTATGAAACATGTATGGGTGTTTGCACTCCTAACAGTACTAATGTTGTGCTTCAATCTTAGCAGCCTAGGCACTCCCCAGTTCCAGGGTTCACTGGGCTAGGCAAATGCTGGGATGGTTTAGTTAAGGATGATGGAACCAGAAGGTTGGACTACGTGACCTCCTGAGGCCCCTTCCAGCCTCACTTTTCTGTGATTCTACTAAACTAATCTTTTCTGAATCAAATTGTGTCATGTGTGTTGGAATTAAACAGATGAAAATGCCATGAAAAAAATGTCAAAGTAATAGAAACTTGCATTATTAGAAAGTGGTTCTTTTAGAGCTCTCTTTGCTTAGACAGCACATTTGAGAGTGCTGCAGTTTTTTAACAGTGACATTTATGTCTGCTGCTTGCTTTCCAGCCAGGCATTACATGATATTCAATTTTTATATATTTTTCATTAAGCTCTAATGTGTCGCACCAAATTCTCTAGTGTTATTTTACCTTTGATAAATGCCTCATATTTACTTTTAATCATTGACAGATCTGTCCTCATGTAAAACTTGGAATTCAGATCTCTAATAGATCCTCAATTCTGCCAGTTATTCTGTGTAATTTGGAATTAATTAGAGATGCTTAGGAAAAGTAAATTAAGGAAAGTAATTGGGTACATGGCTTCAATTAATGCTTATTAACTTCTGCAGGTATTAGTCACCATTTATTGGCTGGGGAAAGCAGCAAACAGTTGCACTTCGTATAATGGAGCAACACTGAACCTGAGGGAATTTGAAGGATTGTTGGCACAGATGAGAAAGGTAATTTTTGTTTATTTTGGGGAATGCACATTAGCTTTTCATTGGTTAAAGATTCATATGTCACAGAAGTTCTGTTCAGTGTCCGTTATTGTGAAAGTAGAGTAGGAATGGTGGGCTATTTATTGAATGAGTTCCTAAGTAAGGTTTTGGAAGTACTAAAACGTTAATACATATTGGCAGGTGATTTTTACTGGTAGGATTAAAGCTGCAGCAGTTGCCAACAAAGGACTTGAAAATGATACCTTAATTTTCATATATATATTTTTTTTAGACTCTTAAGTCTCAGTTTTAAAATGTCAGCCATCCTCAGCTATTTCAGAGTTTGTGGTGCTCTGAATTGCCCTAATATATAGAGCAGACACGTGACTAGTCATAGGAACAGGAAGAGTCAGGTGGATGAGCAGTTTGTTCTTGATCAGGAATTTGTTGTGTATAGCAAGCTGAATTTGCCATTCATGGGAAATTAAGTTGTCCATTACTGGTTGAATGGAGAAAGATGGATGGAAGAAGATGGGAAATTGTATGCAACTTACTTTAAAAGAATGTGCCATTTTATTGCAAGTAGTAACTAAAGTTTAGCAGTACAGAGTCGCCTAGCCCAAGAAGATCAGCTAAAGAAAAGATGCCTGAACATAAAGCTTTATGGATAGCTCTTTCCTTATCCTGTTTTCAGCTTCAGTACAACGTTCAAAGCAAAGTATATACTTTTTCAGTAGGCAGATAAAGCCACAGAGGCTTGTGGAGGGAATGAGTATATGCTTCACAGGCAAGAGAACTTTATAGTCTGCATTTGCCAAATTCTAATTACTTGCTGAAAATGGATTTGGGGATTAGTTTGCAGACCAGCCAGGTCTTGCTGCTAGCATGAGGCCAGTGCAGATAATGATTACTCTTCCTACAGGTCAGTTGGGGAAATGCTGTGTCATGTGGCTAGCACAAAGCAATCCCCTGAAACAAGGCTTAGGACATTTACCCCGAGCTGCAGCAGATATTGGTACATCTTCCTGAAGCTGTGCTGGGGTCACCTTGACAGTAATTAACTCACTAACCGCAAATGGGGACTGTGCCCTCTCCAGCACAGAACATTTTTTTTTAATCCATTACCTAAAAAAAAAAAAAAAAACGACAACTCTTGTTCTACCTGGCTTACAAGCTTTATGTGGTAGTCTATCTCACTCTAGTTGGCAGCTGGTAAGCATGATCAGTTAGTCATTGCTACTGACTCATTGTTCCCTGTTGTTGTTTGTCTTGCTGGCAGAAACCTGTATTATACCCCTGAAGAGTAGAAATGCATTTGGCCAACATGCAGTAGTTCCTACTTTCCTATAATTTCTAGTGGGATGACAAAGCTTTAGGATAAGCTGATTCTCTTCCTCTTTGAGCCATCTTCTTTAGGGGAGCCTACTGGCTGTGTGCACCTAGCCAGAAGAATAAGTTAAGAGAAAAAAAACTGTCTATTTATTTTGGGGGAGAAATAAAAGAAAAAGTGGGGATGGGAAGCATGCACTGGAGAGTGGGTAGAATGAGCCAAAGGAAATCAGCGATAAAGCAATAGCTGCATTGTGTGCATGTAAATTACATAAATGGAATAGATTAAATTTAAGATGTCTTCAGCTACCTTACTGAGAGTGCTTATCCATTGTCCTGAATCTTATCCATCGTTCTAAAATCCTGAGCATTTTCTAAAAATAATGTTTTTATTACATCAGCCTTTCAAAGAGTTGCTTTCTTCCTTCCTTCTCTTCCCCTCCACCTTGCCTCACCCACAAAAAAGTGTCAGATATAAGCCCCAGGTATGTTAAGTCCTATACTCCTTTACTGTGCATAAAAATGCCACGGCTTCAGATTATTATTTTACTATCTTGTGGAGATAACGTTTGGAGACAGGGGAAGGTAGAGAACCAGCATCATCACTCTGTCATTCATACCCAACGCTTGATCCTTTCCCTGAAAGGACATGAGATCTCAAACCATTTATAAATCACTATCTCTTGTCCACTCTCCAGAGGGCATTCTCCCTCCCCTAAACCCTGTGTAGGAGGGCTCATGGTAATCGAAGCATCTGGCTTTACAAAAAGTACTCCTGAAGAAGTTTTGAAATATTTTCTATGAAAAAATCCTCTAATTGTTTTTCTCTGATATATTTTCTCTGTGCTGCATACCTGACAATGGGGTGAGCAGTGAAGGTTTATTAACCTTCATTTGAAATGTCCTGCATGAATCACTCATGAACCATGTGACAAACTGAATCTCATTATTATTTACTTTTATGTTTGTGGTAGCGATGCAAATATATTCAGTAGTGTAGAGACACAGGAGGGAAAATGTAGTCCTGATCTGAAGGATTTGCCCTCTGAAAGACCCAGGAGTAACAAACCAACCCCCAAATGGAAAAGAAGTAGGCTAACACACAAGTATGGTTTGGTACATGTCATTTGCGTTTCATGACACAGTATATTCATGCTTGTATTTATCATGTATAATCTACGTTTTGCTCCTCCTCTGGTAACCTGTGTCTAATTGCCGAGCTTTCTGTGATCAGAAGAAGGGATACTGAGGGAAATTTGGAAGAGGAGAAGGGTAACATATGGATTGACTGAAGGAAAAATGCCTCTCTTGTAAAGGAGGCAGTTTGGAATAAAGTCCAGAAACATTTGTGGAATGAAAAGATAAAAGTGTAGAGTGGCTAGTATCATTAGCCGAGCTCAGAAGAAGAGGGAGGTAGAATTCTGTAGGTAGAAGACAAGCAACAAGCTTGAATGTTATGCACTGGAAAAGCAGAAACTACAGCCAAGATGAGGTATCCCCTCATAGCTGACCATATGGAAGGTGCTATTGTAAAAGTCACTGGCCATCCCCAAATCCCCTCTGATCCATATACATTCTTCTTTGAGTTGCTTTAAAATATATTTATTATAAGTTAAAACATTTTAATTATACTTTGGAGCATTCTGGTGCTTTGACAATGGCTAGTTGCTTAGATGACAACTTAAACAGTAGATCACATTCTCTGCCAGCCTGTTTCCACTGAATTTTAATGGCATTGACAACAAGTGAGGATTCAGGATGAGTAATTACCACCATTACACCCCTGTTGTGGTAAGTTTTTCTGCATAATCAAAAATATGTTGTCCTCAGTCCCTTACTGAATAAACTACCCTGTCTTATTTTTAAGACATTCAGGTGTTATTTTCGATATTTTACCCATGTTACTATAAACTCTTCTAGTCTTTTAAACTGGAAAGTCTAAATAATTAATTCATAATATGCTGAATATATTCAGCAGTTGAAAAAATATGTAGAATGTCTTGCAAATGTATTTAAAATATGGTAATTGTTATATACTTTTACTACCTACCACACGGTTATGCAGTGATTTTTACCAGATGGGCCTGCTAGACCAGTGCATTATGGTAGTTTATAAGATTATCTCTTCAAAAAGTATTGCAATACAGATGTAAATAATAAACTTAGAGTGGATGCAATCCGGTAGATAACACACATGTTCAGAATTAGAAAAAATATCTATTTATCAGACAAATCTATTGGGTGAATGAGATGCCAAGGGGAAAGCTAAACAGGACATGTTTACATATGAGTTACAAGAGTCTGTCTCGTCAGTCTTGCTCATTCCTTTGCCCACTTAATTCCTGGTGAGTTGCAGGTAAAAAATAAACTGAATTAATGTTAACAGACTAATGAAAATGGGGGGAGGGTTCCAAAAATTCACACTTCAGTTGTTTTAAAGTTGTTTCAAACTTTAAAACATTGTGAATGAAGAATGGCTTTTTCAGTTTGTACTCCAGAACAGTGCATCTGATTCCGATCCTCACTGCTGTTTTAGCGTTTCCATGACATTCAACCACGTTACTTTAAAATGGAAATGTGCTGGAGGATTGAATGTAGCTGCTTGGTATGTAGAGATGAGGAGCTGTAGAGCGTTTGGATTTAGGAAAAGATTTTGGGTAATTTTGGAAAAAACAGACTAAAGGATTTGAATAGGGTTGTTCGGTTCTTTCATTTGTATAATTGATACAGCAAAGCTAGACTTTTCTTAAAATTTGTATGATGGTTCCTGGTGGCATTTTTCTTTGTATATGTTGTTAATAGGCAGGAGTGAGAGAGAAAAAATATAGGTTTAAATTGCTGTTTGTTAAAGTTTGGCTTTAATTTTTTAAAAACAATTTAACCCAAGAGTTACTCTGATGCTGTATCTATTTTATTGACATTATGGTGGCTTAGCTTGGCCTTAAGGAACCTTTGCTCTCATACATGCTTGTATTTGGCAGCAAACTGTGCAGTAGCACTAATTAATTTTCTTCCTGAGAAGTCTACAGGACATTAGTTATGGATCTTACTTTTTCTTCTGAGCCTCCAACCTTTTGCATGTGGAGCTTTCATGTGGTATTTTGCCCCCTTTCTTGGCAGCTGCTTCTCTAGAAATTCTGCATTGAGAAGGTTATTTACAGCATCATATTGTGATGTTGATTGATCTGCTTAGCAGAACTAATAATGATAGTAGGAGCTGTGGAAGGGATAGGAACTGTCCTTAGCTCAGCTGTTGTGCACTAACTCTAGCATATAAGTGTTTTTAATTGAAAATTAATGTTTAAATGGCTCAGGAAAAAGTTTTGCATTCCAGTCTCTTCAGATTTGCAAAATGTCAGTCTGATGTTGTCTCCCGCATCTCTGATTTTTCAGCATTAGTCTGGGGGAGGAAAAAAGCAGAGGTTTATCTTTGAGCAAGAGTAGTTATTTTTGTTTTTCTCAGTCTATGCTATTGTAATTAGTGGTAAGACACTGGTTGAAACAAGGGATTTATTATAATGCTGGGGTGAGGATGGCTTCCATTGACCTTTTCCTCTGCTGGAGTTTCAGTGTTTTAGTATGTGCTGCTTGCACTGGAAAGAATTTATAATCACAGGGCTGTCAAAGACCACCATTGTTCTCACTGCTCTGAACATGTGGGTCAGCTACAAGTGCTTTCATATCCCCCAGAGCCAGGAGCTGGCAAAGACTAAAGAGCACAACTGAATTCTTCTGAGGCATCAGGAAAAGCATTTTGCATATTTTTCATTGCTGATTGCTTCAGAAAGACATCCCTCTTTCATAACAGGAATTTTTCTTCAAGGTAGAGGGAGGCTGAGGCACACTGCTTCATTATTTTGTTAAGCTGAAGCAACAACAACAAATGCTGTTGGCTGGTGTCCTAGCCAGATACAGTAGATAGATCGGGGGATTGCATTTGGAAAAAAGTGTTCTTATACCCAGTGTGGTCATGAATTTAAACTTCTAATGATTTTGCCTGTGTACTATGGACTGTGGAGGACAAGTCAAGCTTCAGGTTTATTTCAGTTTTGATTAAATTTATTAACCTGCCTTACAGCTTCCTTTCAAGTAATTATACTGATCTAAGAAGTGTGGTTTTCTTCTTAATTGGCACAAAATCAGGTTTTGTTTCTACTTATGCCTTTGATTTGAAAGCGAAAAGCTTTTTTCTGAGGGAGGAGATTCTAGGGCACTAGGAAGGCACTTTATCAGATGCATAATGAAGCTCATTTGTATGTAAGTGGCTGCTTTTTGACGAGATGCCTTCTGTGCTTCTGTGTAGGAAACGGAGGATATCGAGAGCCCGAAACGCAGCATTCGTGACAGCGGTTACATAGACTGCTGGGACTCCGAACGCAGTGATTCCCTCTCCCCGCCTCGCCACGGAAGAGATGATTCTTTTGACAGTCTGGATTCTTTTGGCTCCCGCTCACAGCAGACACCATCTCCAGATGTAGTACTCAGAGGAAGCAGTGATGGTAAGTCTCAGTCAGAAAGAGGCACATGCATAAGATTAAATGTGACACATGGCACTTTCGGCATAACTGCTGCCATTCAAAAACTAGACTTGGTCTTTTAATCGTAGAGTAGCCTACTAATCTTGGGAACTAGTAAAGAAACTTTCTGTGAATGCTCGTTTACATTGTTTGCAGTCTTCAGATAATTTTGCCACCAGTTTATGTGAAGTCTGTCTCCGCTACTATAATGGAGAATGGGAAAATGGAATTACCTCGTAGTAACGTAATTTATGACAGGGTGCATCTGAGGGTTATGGTGTAACAAGATGTTGTGCAGACATGCTTTAGCTCAGAAACTAGGATGAAGCAAGAACTAAGGAATACAAGGGAGGGAGTTGAAATGAATTAAATGGTATGTAAATAAAAACTTGCCAGTGGAGAGACTAATTGGAAACCTCTTGGATGTTGCTGATACTTGAGAGAGAGGTGAAATCCAATATTGTGAGAATATAATTATGGCAATTCCGCAAATGAATTCCTTCCATTCAGTATTTAATAGAAGAATTTTTAATTTTTAACAAAAGATATAGCCACAATATCTGGCACACCTTTACAATGGTGTTATAAAGGAAACCAATCTGACCATAACTAGCCAGCTGAGAGCTCTCTTGGGATGATGGGAACTCTGCAGATGTAAAGCTTGCAGGCAGCTGTTACTTTGGAGGCAGGAACAATGGTGTAAGGGATGTGTCAGGGATCAGGACTGCGGGGGGTGGAGGTGGGAGTGAGGTAGGACAGAGTTTGGTTCTGCCACACTGTTGGTTCCTCGGATGCTTTAATTTCTACTGGAATTGTTACAGTCTGACCCTTAGAATCCAGGACCTATGACTGGCTCCTTGCAGCTTCTGTGCTTACTCTCCCCTACCAAGCAGAGCTCAATGCTCAGGAGAAAACCTGCCCCAGAACTGTTAAGACTTCATTCTATTGCGTTAAACCAAAATACATGAAATGTTGGTACCTAATAAAAAGGGTCCAGTGTTTTTTCCAGTAGGATGTTAGTAACTGTCATTGGTGCTAGCTGGAGCTCATGGTGAGCTGCTTACATAAGTCCTAAAATGCTGGGCTTATTTCCTATTAATTTGAGCAATTGGCTAGGCTGGTGTCTCTCCTTTAGCTATTCCTACACAGCTCTGCCTCAGATCCTGGCAGGCTAGTGTTTCACTTAGGTGGTTTCAGGTCTGTTAGAAATACTGTGCATCAGAAGCTTGAACACAACACAGTATAAGGGAATGAAAGCTTCTACTTCAGTCATACAGTAACTTCATTAAACCAATTAAGAGACACGAAAATGACGCTATAGCTCCTCTGCACCTGTAAAAATAAACAACTGAGCAAAAAGAGGTAATTGAATATGTTGATAGTGATTGATTGAGTAATACAGAACCTGTAAGCAACTGTATTTGCACCAGTGCAGTTCATGGTTTGCTTTCTCTTTCAAGAACTGCTTTGATGTCTCCACCCAGGTACTGAAACTCTTCAAGAAGAGACAGAGAGGTACATCAGTAAAAATACTAAATTACAATAACATTACAGCCTGCCATGAGTGCAGTCATTAACTTTAAAGCTTCCCAATATCCTATAAATCCCAATACCTGTAAATTCCTTGCTTGGACATCTGTGGCACAATACATGCTACTTAATCATGATTCCCTCCATCAATCCACAAAGACCCTTTAAATTACATCTGCATGTCTGTAGGAGCAGGAAACTGATTGGGTTGATGGGCTCTGCTGTCTATTATTTCTAGGAGTAACTGCAAAAGAGCAAAAGTGACTAAGTTAATTATATAAATAGGGTTTAAGGCTGAGCTCCCACTCAGACATTTAGCTTCAGTGCTTCTTGCAGGCTTGCATAAAACCCCCCCTGAAATAATAACAGTGGAAGTTAACCAAGCCCTTGTTTCTGAAATGCTGCCACCCAGACCTGTGTCTACTTGTAGACCTGGCCTCACAGGCCTAAAAACAAAGAAGAGGGTGATGAGGAAACACTTGCATTCCTTCCACCATCACTCTCCTCTGGTGTGCTAGTGTCTGTCCTTTCAGAACATATTTGAATATATCAGAACTGCTCGCTAAAGTAAAATTAGGATCGGTATAGAAGAGTTCTAAGTACTAAAGCACCTTGACTTTCTGCTTGTTTTTATGTTATGGCCCTGCTTCTCTAAACAGTTTGGAAAGCTCCACACCACTTAACCTCCCAGGATTATGTAGCCATGTCTCTATCTTTCATGCTGATATGTGTTAATACTCACTAGGTGTGCCTACATGTGCATTTGATGCGGCATCAGTTTACTCGCAAGTAAATGGTGACGAGCACGTCTACACATGCAAGGAAGTGGGAGCAGATTTGCTGCCAATCTGCTCCTGCTTCTCAAGACCCTGCAATGGGCCCCTGACACCACCAGGGGGGACTCTAGGCTCTGGCTGCAGTTGCAGGCAGCCCTCTTCAAAATCCAGCCCCACTCGCTGCTTTCTGACCAGCCACTTCCCTGGCCAGGAGCAGCATGCTCAGTGCAGGGACAGCATGCGGGAGCACTCTCCTCACCACCTGTGCTACCCTGTGCTACTGCTGGCCATTGTGCTGGCCCACCATGCCAAGTGCTGCCTGGCCCACAGCTGTCTCACCTCTCCTGGCTCCCCCACGCTCAGCGACTGCCTGCCCACCTGCCTGCCACGTGCCATCCCAGGATCACCATCGCACACCTGCCACTTTGACTCTATCTGCCTGGCTGGACTCCATCAGGAATGCTGATGACAGCTCCAGGGTGCCACCACCAGGGATGCTCTCACCTCCTGGACCTCCAGCTCTGCCACCTCTGGGCCCAGGCTGGTGGTCTGGTGCCTGGAGGCCTTCTACATGATCTGGGCCACCTTCCAAGACCTCTTGGAGCAGCTCCAGCCCCACCTGGAGTGGTAGGACATCAGCATGCAGCCACTCCTCCCTGTGGACACCTAGCTGGCCCTAGCCCTGCTCAAGCTGGCCACACCCACCAGCCTGCGGTACATTGGCCATCTGTTTTGTGTGGGCAAGGTCACCTCCGGGAAGGCCATTCTAGAGGTGTGTGGAGCCCACTAGGACATGCTGGAGGACACTCTCTTCTGTGTGCACAATCCTGTGGCAGTGGTGGTGGGGTTCTATGTCCTGGGATTCCCCCAGGGCATCGGGGGCCTGGACAGGACACATGCCCCCATCACCTACCCACCCCATGGAGACCACCCCTACTACAGGTGGAGGTGCTTTCACTTTGTGGTGCCCCAGGCCATTGTGGACCACTGAGACACCTTGATGCATGTGAGTGCTGGCTGGGTGGACAGCACCCACAATGCCTGTCTTCCAGAAGTCTGGCCTGCTGGACCTGGTGCAGAGCAGCCACTTTGCACTGGGGGTGCCATACCTGCAGCTGGACACTGGTGGTTCCATCCTTACTTGTTGAGGACACCCTTGCACTCATTCCTACCCTGGCTCCTGCAGCCCTACATTGGCCACCTGGACCCCTGCCAGGCCCACTTCACCCAGTGCCTGGGCTGGACCTGTGCCCTGGTAGAACATGCCTTCAGCTGCCTCAAGAGATGTTGGTGCACTGTCACCACCTACCTACCTTGCGTTCACTGAAGACACCCTCCCCAGATCATCATCACAGCCTACATGCTGCATAACGTCTGTGAGGCCCCGGAAGAACTGTTCCACAAGGCCTGGGCAGAGGAGGCACAGTGGGTGGAGGATGCCTGGCAGTGGGAGTACGGTGCAACCCCCTGGCAGTGGGAGCACGGTGACCCCCTCCCCCCACCAAGGCCCCAGGAGATCCATGCACCCACCAGCGGGGTACAGGAAGAACTGGCCAACCACCTTCTCTAGCACTCCCCACTGTAGCCCACCTGGATCACCACCCACAGGTTCCCTGCTGCCCACCCTCAGCACCAAACTCACCACAGACTTGTCTCAGAAGAGCAAGTTTTTATCCCCCTAACATTAACCAGAGCCCCCCTCGCCTCTCCCTCCCTAACAAAAAGAACCCCCTCGACCACCCAACCCATCCACCAACAATAAAAAGCCTTCTTCCCCATGAAAACTATGTACAATGTCCTTTGTGTGCTGTCCCAGAGAAGAGCCCAGGGACAGGTGGCCAGCACTCCAGCCTCTGGCTGCTCCCTTGTGGGTACACATGCCATGCCGAGTGCATGCAAAGGCAATGGCGGTTGATGCTCCCATGGCACAGGTGGCTTCCCCTCCAGCAGGCAGTGTCCAAGGTCAACAGGGCTGGCATGTGGTCCTGGCCCTGTTGCAGGCAGCTCTGGCTCTGCACCCCTGTGGAGTTGGGGCTAGAGTTGGGGCTGGATGGTGCTGGACCCGGGATGGGGTCTGGACCTGGCTGCTAGAGAAGACAAAGGACCTTGTCCCAGGTCTGTGGGGGGGCCTGCTGCTGGGCAGCAGGTGGCTGCCAGGGGACAGGCAGGGCTAGGGTCGGGGGCTAGACAGTGGGTGGCACAAAGTGACTGCCAAGTCTAGAATAATGTCCAGCACCCAGCGGTTGTTGTCCATGGCCTACACTGCCTGGGTCAAGATGGCATTCTACTTCCATAGTGCTTCCATCTGCTTGTGCTCCAGAGCCAGGAGCTGCACCCAGAACTCCCATCCGCCCAGTCGCATACCTCTTTGTGCTGGTCCCGTGCCTCTTTGCAGGTGATGTCCTCTGCCTACCACCTGTCCTGGCAGGCCATGTCCTCCACTTGCCACCTGTTCTGGTGGGCCACGTCATCCCCTCGCTAGGCCCAAGCATCCATCAGCCGGTCCTCTGACACTGTGACCAGGCAGTCCAGGAGGAGGGTCCTGTCCAGGGTCCTCCTTTGGCGGAGCTGGCGTAGGGCCCTGCTTGTGGGCAGTGGTGACCCTGAGACCGCATCCTGGGTGCCAAGTGTGGCCTTTCCCCTGCACGCAGCTACAGGCCCTGTGGAACCATGAGACAGATGCTGTTTGTGAGAGTTTGCAACATTTCAGAGATACGATGCTCTGTATCAGGGACCTTGTGCTGCCCAGCCTCAGATCAGGGGCTGAGAATACACAGGTGGCTCGGGACCATGGTAAGTCAGCTTGGAAGGCCTGGGCCCTAAGTGGCCACTGACTGAGCCTCCCATCCCCACTTGCTTCCCTGGGGTTGGTGGGCCACTGGGTGCTGGCTGTGGGCAGCTTCCTCCCCCATGTTTCCCAGGGTGGGACAGGCCAGGCTCCTGACAGCACCTGCTACTGCAGCTCCAGACCCTGTTCCAACCTCTCCTCCTGCAGAGCAACCGCTCTGCTGCTCTGCCGCCTAGCCTACCACAGCCGGGCTCTGGCAGCATGAGGCTCCCAGATGACTGGGATGAGGAACTGCTCATGCCCCCACCATCCCAGCAGGGATCTTCTACAGATAGGTGCCCCAGGGCCAGCCCCTCTCCCCTGCACTGCTGCTGCACCCTGAGCATGGCCCTGCTGTGCGTGCCTAGGCAATGCATGAGGAGTTGTTTGCACGGACTGAGGAGTACCTGACTCACTATGCCCTGCTGGCGCTGCTAATGGCCACGGTGCCCTGGGTGCACCTACACACCTGGTATTGATTGGACCCTGTGCTATGATGGTGCAGAGGGCAAGCTCGGGCTGCCCTGCAACCTCCGCCACCACCTGCAGGGCTACCCGTGGCTGCACTATACGTCCATACCCCCCTGCAACTGAGGAGGACATTGCTGCTGGTATTAACAGATTCCTTTGTGTGCGAGAGGCCCGTGTCCACCTAGCTGCAGGGGCATGGGCTGCTCAATGAAGTTTTGCACCGTCTCCCACCTCCCTGCATTCTGGTGGGGGAGAGGGGGAACCTGGGGCCAGGGGAGTGCAGGTGGGCCGAGCAGGAGCAGGGGCCAGGCGAAGGGAGGGCCTTCCCCCCAGTGTGGGTTTACCATGTGGCCTGGGCTGGCGTGGCTGGTGGCTCTGGAATCACGGCTGTCAGTGGTGGTGTGCAGTTCTGGGCAGTGTCCTTGGATGACCAGGGTCTCCGCCCCCTCCTCCCCTGTCTCCCACCTCCCCTCTGAGGAGGAGCTGGCTCTGCTAGCAACTGGCTGTCATGGCTGGCCGCATCTTGTGGTGGGGGCTGGGGCTGCAGAGCTGGTGAGACAGGTACTGACTTAGGCTCCCTGAGATGCTGGTGGAGGGTCCAGCCAGGGAGCTCAATGGCATGGGCTGCAGGATGCGTTAGGGGCCCTCCTCTGATAATGTGTCACTGGGGGTGCCAGGTCGGGGCATGGGCTCGGGCAGGCCACCTGTGCTGTTATAGACAGCACATCTGAGGCCTGGGTCCTAGGATGCAAGGATATACGTCAGTTGCTGCATAAAGGGCGTGTACTTGCAGGCACTTCCCAACCAGTGTTTGTGATTGGTGATGGAAACCCACTGTGCCCACAAGGCCTTGACCTTTATGTAGCAGCATGAGCGTGGCAACTGTGTGACACTGATGCTAAGCAGTAGTGCCGGGGTGCAGGCAAGCTAGGGCAGCTGGACTGTGGCCTGCTCAGGGGCCACAGGGGCCTGGAGTGGCCTCAGGCTCCCTGCTGGTGTGCCTTAGGGCTCTGAGTGCCTGCAGACTTTTAAAGCCTGAGGCAGGGGGGGGCGCGCAGCACGAGCAGCGCACTGGGGCAGGAGAGGCTCCCAGCCCAGAGCCCTGGGGCTAGCCTCAGGCCCCCTAGGGACAGGGCTGTGCTGGGAGTAAGTTTGCTCCCAGGTCATGTCTACACGTGTATAACTGTGTAGTAACTAATCATACCTTGTTACCCACATTTGCAGGTAGAAAATTTAATAACTGAAAACAGCCCAGTGCAAAATTCCTGAAAAACGAAGTTATGAATTTAGCTGCTTTAGCTCTTTTTCAGTAGTATGTCTGTCCAATATTCCTCTTGCTGTTCTCTTTCCCCTTCTTCACCATCTCCAAGAAGACATGCTGAGCTTTGCAGTGGATTGAATTATTCTTTGCAAATTAACATTCCTGACATATTTAGCCCTCTTTTCTGTTCAAATTATCCACAAGATCCTCCTGATTTTCTTTTTTCACATTGTTTGTTGTTTCCTGTTGCTCAGCTAGATTATGTGAACATAGCTTGCCTGGTACACTAGGTTCTTTAAATCATGTGGTTTGTTGGGTTTTTTTAATTGTATCCTATTTGGGAGGCCTAACCTTTATAAACAAGAGTCACTTTCTGTTCACAAATAACTTGTAAACATTTGTATTTTTGTAAAAATGTGTTGATAGAATATGAAATATCCTTTCCAAATGTATATGAAAGCACTTCTACTGCGCATTCTTAGAAGTAATTTTGTGCTGGTATTTACGATGCTTTTGTTTTCTAGGAAGATTCTTGCCAATAAAACTTGCTTGCCTGTGTCTGAAACTGTTTTCAACCCAGTCTGTGAATGTGTTTTTAAAGACAGCTTATGAATATCAGTAGTGTGTATTGGTGACTTTTATTTACCGGTGTTTACCCAATTCTGCTGAAAATTGCTGTTTCTGTTATCCTCTGAATTTCTTGATTTGTTTCTCACTGTCGTCTTTTCCATTCTTCACCAAAAATATTCATGAAACCTTGTCATTCCAATCTATCCCCCTAAATCCTGTTTAGCTAATGGAAGTTCTGAGCAGAAACCATTAGTAGTTTATACCTATCCAAAACCATGTCTAGGTTGTGGCACTTCAGTTGATATGATATAATTCCAAGAGGAAGTATCATAGCTCCCTGTAGCAACATCTGCTACATCAGTGTACATGCAAGTAGCCCTCTAAAACCCAGTGTGTTACTACCCTCTAGATAACACCTTAAGTTATGCACTGATTCACTGGCATGTTCCATCTGATGCCTACCCTTGCTTCTAAGTAGCAGTCAGTTGAGGTCCAGTCAGGTAAGCTTGATTCTGGGTTTATGCAGCTGTTTTGTGTCACTGGAGATCCTGGTGTTATCTGACCTATTGTGCTTTGCAACTCTTCAAAGGGAAGGTTTCTCGAAAAAAGAACTTACTGTGACCTTTTTCTGAAGTCTGGTTTCTTTGGATGCCTACAGTAGGATGCTGGACTGCTGGAATAGATTTATTTGCTGTTGATATTGAGATTGTGGCCAGTACTTTTGCCAGACTGATTTTAAAATATGACTATAACTCCAGACATAATTAGCTATCATCAGTTCTTGTTTTCTCTGATTTAAAAAACTGTACGTAAAATAATAGTTTCCTAGTGAAATTTCCCAATATTCTGTGTAAATACAGAATTGCCAACTATATTATTTCAATCTACTACTGAAATACTATTGCATTTTACAGTAGGGGTGTTTTTGCTATGTAAAAAATAACATCCCCCCTCCCTGCACTGTTTTTCAACAGGGAGAGGAAGCGACTCTGAATCTGATTTGCCACACCGGAAGATGCCAGATGTGAAAAAAGATGATATGTCTGCAAGACGGACATCGTATGGTGAACCTAAATCAGCTGTGCCTTTTAACCAGTACCTCCCGAATAAGAGTAACCAGACTGCCTATATACCAGCTCCTCTTCGGAAAAAGAAAGCTGAACGAGAAGAATACCGGAAAAGTTGGAGTACTGCTACTTCACCCCTAGGAGGAGAGAGGCCTTTCAGGTAAGACTTTGTCCATCTTGTTAAATGATTATCCTTTTTAACATTTAACCAGTCATGTTCCTTCGTAGCACATAGTACTGTATAAATTGGGTGAAATCTATTCCTTAGAATAGACCAGTGCAGCTCAACCTTGTGGAGAAGCAGTCTGAGTTCTTGCAACCTGGCTGCACTGTTGACCATTTCTGGTGGGGGCAGTGGAGACAGAGAGATGAGGCAGGGATGTGGCTGCCAGTGTTTGTGGGGAGGGAGGGGGGGAGGGGCAGAGGTTGAAAAAGAGATATGGAGAGGATCAGTGACATGATGCAGACCAGGGAAGGAGACGCTTTGGACCAAGCTGCTTGCTACTGATCCCCCAGGCTGAAGGCCAGATCCAGTCACTTTGGGGGCTGGATCCAGTTCACGGGCCATAGGTTGAGCATCACGGGACTAGACTGTTTGGTTGCCTGTAATAATAAAGCAAAACAATTGAAGAATAATGACACAAGTAGATATGCATGTAGTGACAGAACTTAGATAATTGTTGTTCATTTGTGATGACGTGTTACCTGTGAATTATTCAGTGTCACAGTACGCACCGCTTACAGCTGTGGTATTTGATACAAGTGATTTATTTAATGCTACAATCACTCGTATTAACATACGTTTGCTTCTCTGATATTGTTATGGATGCCCCGAGTTACAGTTTTCATGAGCTGTTTCATCTTTGATGAATGAATCTGTTGTGCACTGGTAACATATGTCAATGAGTTAATTAATCTATTGTGCATTGGTGAATTTTTAGCATACATTCTCATATTTCACATATTGTTCTAACCAACAGATGTTTTGTTTTGATTTGCCTTCGGAGAATCTTGCACTAGATAGCATTATTATTCTCTTATAGCATTTATAAATATTTGTAAAGTAAAAAAAAGTAGCAGTGTCCTGTACAGTAAACTACCTTGTGTAACTCACTAGTAAAACCCACCCTGAAATGATAGAAGAACAACAAAATGAGGCATCAAGACCACTTGAAGAGGAGCAAGTGCATGGCTGCATGACTGCCAGGACAAACCCCAATAAAACTCAAGTAGATTTGACTCAAAACAAAGACCACCTTATAGGTCAGTTTCCTTCAGGTAGTGCCAAAGAAACACGCAAATTCAAGGGGAAAGATTCAGAGGAGATCAGAAAGCTAAGGCGGCTTGAACAAGTTGGCATTAAAGTCATGTCAGCAGCTCAGCGCTATGGCAGGTTAGCCCGACAGTGTGGAATGTTGTGCACGCTTCACATTTTATGCAGTTTGCTAGTGTGTGCGGTTTTTCTCATTCTGACATTAGTTCATGCCATATAACAAAAATGTGTTGTGCTAAGCACTTGCACTTTCTGCTATTTCATTTGCAACTTACAAGCAGCACAACTTACAGGACTTCAGAAAAGGTCTAAGCGTGAAAAGGCTTGTGGTATGGCAGTAATGCATTGCAAACCTATAGGCTACTAAATTAATTGTATTAACTAAGTAGATTGTACTACTGTAGGATGGAAATAGACTACCAAGAAGTCTTGCAAGCTTCCATTTGATAAAAAACAGTTCTGCTACTACATTATGCCTGTTTGGGACAAGGGTTCAAGAAATTCTTGATATACCTTAGTGATGGAATACTTCAGGAGCAAGTGGCTGAATTACATTTATATTTGAGGTTTTTCGTATTGTTAGGAGTTTTACTGAAGGCTGTATTTAACTTTAAAGACAGGAACTATAAAAATGCACTGCTTGTTAACACGTGCACCAATTAAAGCACATGGGTATAGTTCACTAATTGTGATTTGACTGATCTAAGTATGGAATGGCCATATTTTTTCACCTTGTTACCTGCATTACTTGTTTATAGTTTCTGTTCATGTCAGTTATTTCCTTTTCTTTATTTGAAAGCCTTAATAATATAGAAATTTAATTTCATATGAAGCTTGTTCCAGGTGTTTTAGTTGCACTTATGTGAGACCCTCATGAAAACTAGCTATTCATCATGCGGCTTTCTTATTGAGCAAAACTTTAGGGAGTATGATGAAAGCTTAGTCTTTTATGAAAGATTGACATGGTAAATGTCTAAACCTACACCCCCAGCACCTCAACTTTTGGAACATCTGGAAAGTATTCAGTATCATCATAATCTCAAACAAGCACTAACAAAAAAACTTCGGTATGAATTAAATCTATAAATTATAGAAAGGGGTGCCAGCAAAACGTACATACAGAATGTAGCTTTGTTGGACCTGATATTAGTTTGCATCTCTAAGTGTTATATAAATAATAACAACCATAATGAAAGCACACATGAAATGCACGCATTTATTTTATATATATTTTTGTGTGCATTTCACTTGTTGTTGTTGTTGTTGTTGTTGTTTATACAATGCTTAAAGATGGAAACTAAGATCAGAATTAAACTTCTTTCTCTCTAGATATATATCTATATCAATATCAATATAGATAGTTTTAATGAAGCTTATATGCTATGTGCAGTCACCAAGTCCAATCAAAATAGCCTGATTTGCTTTTTCGTATACATTTTTCCTCTTCCTCTTTTATTTTGTTTCTCTCAGAATATCTTATATTACAAGCAATAACAAACTAATTCATTTTTTATAAAGTGAGACACATCATAAACAATGCATACAAAGCAGTGCTGTACTCTACAAAGTAATGTTCAATTTAGTGTTACCCTAGGAGATTAGCCAAAATACTAATAAAAAGAATATGCTATCAATCATAAAGCACAATCCCATCCTGGCTTGGTTAATTGCTAGCCGGTCAGTAGTTCATAAACCAGAAGGATAATAGTGCAAGCACATTTTGGTTCCAAGACTGTCTTAGCCAATAGTATTATGTTTGGCAATCCAAGGTGTAACAAACAATATTTATAGCATGCACAGTTTTGGAGGATGCTCTCAACCTTTGGCTGTTGGCCCTTTGCTCCAATCCTGTTTTAATTTAATGACTTAATCTCCAAGACAGATCCAGATGTGGGCAAGCATATGGCCCAAAAGGGAGTCTGGTCTTCTCCTTTTAAGAAGAGTTTTGTTCTACCTTGGCAGGAGGAAAGAGAACAGCACTTACAAGGGATTCTCCTCCCTGCTCTCAGCAGGAGATCCTTGATTTGCCAACCAGGTGCAACTTCTGCAGATGGAAGCAGAGGGTTTCAGAGCAACTAATGATGCTTTGCCTCAGCTCAACAGCTGAGGTCAAGAGCCAGGCTAAACAGGAGAAGCCCAGCCTCTCTAGTAGCTTGGCCCCTGAGATTGAGCAAAAAGACTTTTGGGCCTGGTGAGGCAGGGGAAGTGTCTGATGTCTCTAGGGGGAATTGAGTTGCTACATGCGTGAACGAGAGAAAGGAAACGGGGAAGGGAACTAGACAGCTATAAGGGGGGAAAAGACCTAGGGCCACAGGTGAGGGGAATCGCATCTTTGTCATATTCTTGCCCACTGGTTATCTGTTATCTCACTTTTAAATCCCTTCATTGGCTCCCCTTCCTCCTCCACAATAAGTTCTAGCTGCTTCTCCTGATAATCATGGCTCCGTGTAACTTTACTTCCTTAACTTGCTTATTCTGATTTTCTTTCCTTTCCCCACTGCTGCACCATGGTGTCAGTCACTGCTGTTCTCCCACAGCTGTCAGTGTTCTGTTTTTTGCCAGTGCCAGTCTGGTGGCCCTGCATCTTTTTTGCTATTCAGATCCCTAGAAGACCCAATTTAACTGTTGGGTGTAAAGGTCAGTTACTGCAAAGCTGAAGAATTTTGCAACCCCAGTCCAGTGGTCACTTAAGCACATGCTTGTGCATTACTTGTTCAGGGTTTCCATACAGCCTAGGACATAACATAATTATAAATTATATCAAGATGTGGTCTATCACCTTAGCCACTTCACTTGCATCTTATACTCTTATGTATCTGTCTTTTTACAGTGTTAAATCTTCAGATCAGGGACCTGATTTTTTTTTTTAAGGCATCCTGACTAGAGGTGAAGAATGGGAGGGGAGCTAAGCTGTGTTCTGATAGAAAGGTGTTAGTGGAATTCTTTTACATTTAGGAGCATTGGTCAGCTGACTGGCATTCCCAACCACAGGCCTGCCCCCAACTCTTGAAGGACTTAGGTGCACTCCCAAAGCCGGGAGCCCTGATCAGCAGAGTGCATTAGAGCCCTTCAAGGCTCTGGTGTGTTCCTAAGACTAACCCAAATTAGCTGATTGGTGCTGGCCTCATGTTCGGTTTAAGGCGCTGTGGGAACCAGCCACAAAGTTATTGCATATGTTTTGTGTAATAACTTTGTGGTTTATTCCTTGTTTTATGACGCCATTAACTGCATGAACATGTGGCTGGGTTATTACTTAAGACATGGTTACCTGGTTAATCACATCTTGAGTGTAATGGCTTCCAGGGGCCTGAGAGTGACTCATAAAAAGAACAAAATGCTTACTCTCTCTGTTTCAAATCTAAATACCATATGCTGCTTTTATATAAAATTAAACTAAAAGCTGATTGGAAAGTGATCGCTTGGTCAATGACCTTCATTAAAATTGAGTGATCCCATAATTAGTCTAGTTTTGCATGGCCTTTTAAATCTCTGGAGGCCATAACTCCATAGTTCTGACTTGTCAAAGAAAGCCTGCTCAAAACCAGAAAATTTGTTGTTGTTAAGCTTAAATGGTACTATTAAGACACGAACCTAACAGGTGATTTCAACCAACTGAATAATTACTTAGAAGTACAGGGTTTATAGTGTATTTACAGGTAATATAACATTAACTGTATGAATTAAAAAAAAAAAGATATGAGCATTTTAAAAAGGGACTTTTAGTATGATGTGATTAACCAAAAGTGTCAGTTACCTCAGAATTTTAAAATGATTTCAGAATTACTAGCTTGTAATATAGTGTGATAGCAGAAAAAGCTGATGCAGTATGGGTGATGTTAATTGCACTTAATCCCCCTTCAAATGCTCATCCTCCCGCCTAATTTGGAGCAGTATTTTCCAGCTCTGGTTTTTCCCTGTAAAGTTAGAAGAGAAGTATAGAGTAAGAATTTGTCTCTTCAGAGTGATATCTCTTTCTTAATACTTGTCTGATACTGCCCTACACATGGTGTTTTCTTCTATAGTCTGTCAATCTTTAAAGACATATACTAATACATAAGCATATCCCTCTGAGAAACAAGATAAGTTTTAGAACATAATTAAGGAAAAAGTGAAGATTTCTCCATGAAGGACTCATTCTTGGCTGATATCTTTCCCTTACAATGACACAAATTACAAAAGTTGGATTTGGACATAGTGCACTGTTGGTAACCATAGTAAATTAGAATTGAGCGACTTAGTAGACCTGTTTAGGACAAAATTAATAGATTCATAGAAAATTAGGGTTGGAAGTGACCTCAGGAGGTCATCTAGTCCAACCCTTGCTCAAAGCAGGACCACGCCCAACTATATCATCCCAGCCAAGGCTTTGTCTATCCCGGTCCTTAAAAACCTCTAAGGGTGGAGATTGTACAACCTTTCTGGGTAACCTGTTCCAGTGAATCCATGCAAATCACTTTCTTCTCCTCCAAGTGTTTAGAAATGGGTTCCTTGAGGATTTGCTCCATTTTTCCAGGGACTGAAGTGAGGCTGACTGGTCTGGTCTGGTCTGTAGTTCCCTGGATCATCCTCCTTCACTTTCTTAGAGATGGTCACTGTATTTGCCCTTTCCCAATTGTCTGGGACCTCACCTGATTGCCACAAGTTATCAAAGATAATGGCCAGTGGCTCTGCAATCACATTAGCCAACTTCCTCAGCACCCTTGGGTGCATTACACCTGACCCCATAGACTTGTACACATCCAGCTTTTCTAAATAGTCCATAACCTGTTATTTTGCACCTGTTGGCTGCTAACTCCCCCCTCCCCCTCCCCCTTGTGTTGCCAGGTGCAGTAGTCTGAGAGCTGACCTTGCCTCTGTGGACCGAGGTAAAAAGCGCGTTGAGTACTTCAGTGTTTTTTGCATTGCGTGTTACCAGGTTGCCTTCCTACATTCTGTAAGGGACCCACACTTTTCCCTGATCTTCCTCTTGTTGTAGACATACTTGTAGAAGCCCTTCTTGTTACCCTTCACATCCCTTGCTAGCTGCAACTCCAATTGTGCTTTGGTCTTTCTTTTACCATCCCTGCATGTTCGAGCAATACTCTTATACTCCTCCTTAGCAGTTTGTCCAAGTTTCTTCT